TCGATCAAAAGTTAACTATAGGTACTGGGGTCCAAATATTCGGTACCTAGGGGCTAAAATAGTTTTTATTGAATTTGAACAAGTTTTAGTTTTACCCGTTATAATGCGAGATCCAAGTAACGGTACTTTTTCAATTTTATTTATTTTTTAACAGATCACGAGTGAGTCGTGTCTAGCTGTCATGTTATATTTGTTCAGTATTGCTTGGCATTTCATCATGGAAATACTAACGCATAATCGGCCTACTGAGCGTACTATTTGCCACACCATYATMCAGCTTGAGACCTAGCACTCATTATAGGGTGCAAAATACAAAATTASCAAGAACTGAATTTGAAAAGGTGATAGTGGCTTCGCCCTTTAATAACTTTAATGTACATACTCGTATCTCCTAAACCAATAAAGCTCCTACCGACGGTGTGAGAATGGATGAAATCGAAAGATAACCTCACTCACTCCCCATATAATAATACGGTTAAAAGCTACTAAAAGCGCGATATATCAATAACTGTATGCCAGAGACATTCTATTTCACCTTCAAGATGGTATGATAGGGATTTATGGAAGCCGGTGTGAAAATTGGAGGACGGGCATGGCACCGYCCACTTTTCAGTGAAATATCGCAGACTCCCCACCAACCGATATCGACAAAATTTAGTACGTGACTTCTCATATTCCCATGCCACAGTACAAAAATAAAACGAAATCGGTTTCCAACCACGTCTACTTCCACTTGATTCTTTCAAGAAACAGTTAATATCGGGTTTTCCAATAGGGATTATATTATATGATTTCTAAGTGTCCTTTCGGCCATTTTATAATATGTCATGATCTGTAATTTTTTTTCCAATGTATTCAGGAATTTTCAAAATTTCATCATGAAAAGATATRCGCAAKAAAAACGTTTACAAATTATTCAATTTAATTATCAAAATAATCGTTCTTCAAATGCAACTTTTCGTTCATCTTTGCTGCCGTTTTGGCAAGTGTTACTGAAGACCGCAATTTCAAAACGTTCTCAAGAATTGGGACTACCACCAAATACMACCTGGTGGATTTTGAGAAAGGACTTGAGCTTGCATTTGTATAAAATTGTTCCAACTTACGAACTGGAGCCATTAGACCAACGTAATGATTTTGCTAMTTTTGCCTTGGARCAACCTAAAAAAGATAACGAGTTTCTTACAAAAATCATATTCTCCAAGGAGGCTCACTTTCATCTGAGTGTGGTAAGTAAACAAAACTTTTGATTCTGGTGCGAAGAAAATCCACAGTTTATTCATTAACAACCATTACATTCATCTAAACTGACTGTATGCTGTGGTTTTTGGTCTGGTGGAATCATCGGTCCGTACTTCTTTCGAAATGAAGCTGGTGACACCGTTACTGTTAACGGAGAACGGTATAKATCGATGATAATCAACTTTTTATGACCGCGATTGGAAGAAGTTGATTTTGACAATATCCGGTTCGAACACAGCATATGCTAAAACCGAAT